CAATTTGTGTGTTCATCAGTTTGCACGTTTCCTTGACAAGGGCTGACAGGAAGTTACTACCTCGATCAGAAAGGATGGTTCGGGGTGCACTGTGTCGCGTCATGATCTCGTTAATGAGAAGGGAAGCGATACGGTGAGCTTCACAAGAGGGTACGGCGAATGCCTCAGGCCAACGCGTGTAATAGTCCGAGAAGACGACAATGTAACGCAAGCCAGAATTCGTTACGGGAAACGGACCGAGGACATCCACAGCTACGCGATGGAATGCTCTTTCGACGGGGATGGGAAGAAGTGGGGCTTGACGGCGATAACGGGGCGACTTCTTCATAGAACAGTCAATACAAGATTTGCACCAATGTTCGATATCTTTGAACATTCCTAACCAATAGTATTTTCGCCGTAACTTCTCATAGGTTTTTTGGATTCCTAGGTGTCCACTAGTAGTGTCGTTCTGAGCATTAGTAAGAATTTCGTGACGCAGGGAAGCTGGAACTACTAGTTGGCTGAAGAGATTACCAGCCTTTAGCTTGCCAGGGGACCAAAGATGACAGAGGATACGGTCGTCGTTAAGGTAGTAATCATCAACGTGGAGAAGCAAAGTTCTGGCTACGCGTTGATCATTTGGCAGTTCCTTAGATTCGAGATAGGTTATCAGGTTTTGAAGGTCTGGATCTCGGCGTTGCAGATGACGAATGGTGTCAACTTGGACTCCTGGGGTGTCGATGGCTGTGATGTGGATATTTGAGTATGGTAAGCGAGAGATTGCATCGGCATTACCATTAGATGTGCATTGGCGATGGATGATCGCAAAGTCATACTATTGAAGCTGGAGGGCCCATCGTGCCAGTTTGCCAGTGGGGTCTTTGATGCTCATCAACCAATGTAATGCATGATGGTCTGTATAGACATAGAATTTTTGCCCATAAAGATAAACTTGATACTTCATAATAGCTTCAACATCTGCGAGTGCTTCCCGTTCCGTAGTGCTATAGTTACATTCAGCCTTATTGCCTTATTAAGTTGCCGACCGCCGTACGCGAGAACAACGTCTCGCCCTTCGATGTTCTGACCGAGAATATAGCCGAGTCCGGTTGCACTGGCATCAACATGTGGATGAAAGGGTTGGGAGAGATTTGGATACGCCAAAATCGGTGGTGTAACCAGGGCGTTCTTCAGGCAATTAAAGGCTCTTTCACATGACTCATCCCACTTAAATGCGATATTCTTTCTGGTCAACCGAGTGAGGGGAGCGGCAATTGATGAAAAGTCTTTCACGAACCGGCGGTAGTAACTTGCAAGGCCAATAAAAGCACGAATGTCCTTTACACTTCCAGGACGAGGGAAGTCACGTACCAATTGTGTTTTCTCGGGGTTAGGTTGGATCCCATGTTGGGAGATAAGGTGACCAAGGAAAGACACAGATTGTTGGCCAAAGAAACACTTACTCGGATTCAAAGTAAGGTTAGCCGCTCGTAGACGATCGAGAACTAATCTTAGGCGGGAAAGGTGTTCGTCGAATGTGCAAGAAAATACGATAATATCATCCAGATATATTAGGCAGATGTTCCCGTCCAATCCTTGGAGTACTTGGTGCATTAAGCGTTGAAGGTGGAAGGCGCGTTGCACAGACCGAAAGGTAGCACACAGAACTCGTATAACCCGATGCCGTGGCGAAGGCTGTGTACTGTTGAGATGATTTGTCCATTTCGACTTGATGATAACCGCTACGAAGGTCGAGTGTACTGAAGTATTTGGCTCCAGAGAGAGCATCTAAAGCATCATCTACTCGTGGAATTGGATAGCTGTCCTTACGTGTAACCGAGTTGAGCCTACGATAGTCTACACAGAAACGGGATGAGCCATCTTTTTTCTTGACCAGGACAACTGGAGCACTCCACGGACTATTGGAAGGTTGGATCAAGTTTGCATGCAGCATTTCTTGAACATGGTTTTCAATCTCTCGTCGTTTGGTGTGGGGGCCCTGTATGGAGGTTGGCGAATTGGGGGACTAGGCCCGACATCAATTCTATGTTGGACCAGGTTTGTTCGACCCAAGCTTTTGGTTGATGAGACGGTCGGAGTATTCGAGCAGGAGTCGGCGTTTAGACAACACGGAGTTGGTCAGGTTGGGAAAATCAGAGGGCGTGGCTGAAGCGGGAGTTGGGCTTGGTGGGGGTGGTGTTCTAGGTGGGTCTTGCAGATCAGCGAAATCAGATTGGTGGATTGTGCTTGCCAAGGGGTTGATAATAGGTAGTGAGGTGCTTCTCTGAGTTGTCGTGGGTAATCCTGTACATGACGTAGGGGTGGGCGGATCAGTAAGAGGTGTGGTCTCGAAATCTTTTTGTGTGAACTGTCCTAATGTGGCACCACGGAAGATTGACAGGCTCATCAGTTGGATTTAGTAACCGGAAAGGGATATTTCCTTGTATGTCTGGGCATACCAGGGATGCTGCACCAGCTAGATGGTATCTGTTGAGGAGTCTCTCTCCTGGCTCAATTAAACCAATAACATTATTTGTTATCTGACCAACAGTTGCTGGAATGACAGCTTCGCAATGTGCATCAATTACTTGGGTTTGACCACATTTAACGGGCAAGGAGCTGGGTGGGCAATTTTCATCCGCAAACATGAGCACATTGTCACCCAAAAATTCAACGGTATGGGCACCCATATTGATGATAGCACGGTTTTGTTGCAGAAAGTCGCGACCGAGAACGGTAGAATAGCTAAGACCGGACACTACATAGGCGCTGCAGCTGTATTTTGTATGCCCCAAAGTGAGATCAAAGGTCACAACGCCTTCAATTGGTATGTGAGCACCGTTTGCCGTTTTGACCGATCGGAGCACTTCACTATTTTCTAGGGGTGTTGATGTACTTAAAACTTTATGGTAAAATTCTGTACTGATTACTGTCACAGCAGCACCAGTGTCCACAAGAACTTGTATAGGGGTTAGTGATACAGTACCATTAATAAACATTACTGAATTGGGTTGATTGATCCAGGACATTAATTGATGGGGAAATGGATGGAATTTCCGATCTATTACGTACATTTGGCGTTGGGAATTTAGAGGAAACATTAATATCTCTAGGTAATGTAGAGGGTAGAAGGGGTGGTTGTGTTTGTATGAACTGACTTTGTTGGCTGGGTTGGACATGTGGTGAATAATGTTCATTGAAATTTTTACTCGTTTGCCAAGACGTGTTTGGATAAGAGCTGTTGTGATATCGATTTGGTGGGGAATATCCAGTTACTTGCGGGCACCCCTGTGTCCCCATATGAAAGGCCCTTGGGAGTTTAAATGCCCAGCATTATTTTTAGGGTGTGGTGGTGGTGCTAGGGGATGCTGATAGTTATGATAAGGGGGCTGGGGAGGAGGGACATACCGACTTTGGGGGCGGACTGATAAACGGGACGTACCTGCTTCTTTGCAATACCTTGCAACATGCCCAACTATTTGGCAGGTATTGCAAATTGGCTGCCCGTCTGTTGTTCGAAGGTTTCGTCCTCTGCTGTCTCGCCGGGGATATCTGTTTCCTACGCTGAATTCCTGTCGGTCTGTTGGGACATTTTGTGGTGTGTCTTTCCTGATTTCGTCCCGTACTGCTGCTATGATATCCCTTTTCATGGCGTCGATATCCTGGGTAGAGGACTGGAGACAGTGCAATAGTTGGTTGAAATAGGTGCTACTGTGGATGCTTGTGGTCGGTCAATAGTGGACATTAAAAGTTGCACTTGGCCCTCGAGCTCTGCTAGGCGTTGTCGTTCTGTGAGGTTATCATTAGAAATTGTTTCTACTTGTTTCTCTCAAGCTTTCTTCTCATTTACGAGATCATGTATCTGATTTATTACATTATTTGGAGCAGGTGACTCTGCTTTGTCACATTTTGTACTTCTGCTGACAGTATCTTTCAGAGGCGCCAAGGATTCGGTTTCCTCCAATGTTGTTGGGCGGTTCAAAATGACATGCGATATTATCTCGTCGTTTAGTCCTGATATGAAACAGTTCATTCTGTTGGTGTCATTACGTCCTAGTCGGCTGCATCTACGAATAATGTCCTCTGTGTAACTGTTAAGGCTTTCGCTCTTACCTTGCTTTCGGTCATTTAATTGTTGTCTCTGAAGGAACTCTTCGTTTAGTGAAGCAAATCGCTGTCGAAGGGCCGTTATTAGACTAGCATAATTGTTCCTTGTCTCGTCTGGTATGTAGCCATGCCAACGCTGGGCCTTCAAACAATAGCATTGATGCAGACAGTTTCTTGGCGTTTGTCCAATTATAAAACTTGCTGTATCGTTCAAATCTTTCGATAAAGTCGGTAATATCCTCATCCGAAAACCCACTGAAGGATTTTGGGCGAAAAAATGACGATGATGATTGTCCTTCAATGGCAGCTTGCATCGCTGCAATTTGCGTTCGTAGTGATTCGACCGTTTCTATAGCGTCCCTTTGCATCGTTCCTTTTGACGGCTGTGCTTTGTATTTTAAACAATACGTTCTCGTCGGGGTCAATGTTACGATATCAAAATACACTGTCACACGTTCTGGCTTTGATCTGTTTAATATCATAAATGTTCGTCTAAAATACTCTATTCGTCAATACTTCAATCACATCTCTTCTTCGTAGCCTCAAAAGCAAAATTCTCCTTATTGTCCGTACTTTTCCCAACACTATATCGTCTCTTCATCACTACATAAAATAGACAGTTCACGTGTTCAGCGCACGCAATCATTATTGTTATAATTATCTCGTAACAGTACGTAGCCTTCATCGAAAAGATTTTGAGGAATAGCCTTTATGGCTGAAACAGCTTCAAATGAGTCAATCAAATTATGTTTGTTAATCACCCGTGTCACAAATTCTCAACTAGTATTACTACAGGTTTCTCAATTGAGAAATGTGGTATTAGCAACCTTAGATGATCATCTAAGCCATCTGTCCTTAGTATTTGCGAGGCCTGAGCACTAACCACGAATCGCGAATGCTTGTAACGCAAATATGGCGGTGCTTAGATAGGAGTGGGAAAGTGCTTGTTCGTTCGAAGCTATGAAGCGTCTGAAACAGTTATCTGTGAAAACTAAGGTTTTCGACAGAAATAGGGCATTCACTACCGGTACTGCTCTGACAGTCGAACGATCCCAAAAGGCTTCGACAAATGCTACAAGTGTAGTCGAAGGTGAGGCAAGTGCTCTCAAAGAAGATTCTGCCGCGGATTCTGGTATCTATAGTGTTGATACAGATTCAACTGATGATTCGGCTAATACGAAGAGAAACATAAACAATTTATGTAACTGGGAGAAGATTCGATCATGTTTGGTGAAAGCTTGTGTGGAAGAGTGTAGTATGAAAAGTGGCCAGGTTTGTATTCTCTGCCACACGCAGGCTGCGGTGGTTCGCTGTGAGTACTGTGGGCCAAGGCAATACTTCTGCCCGTCTTGTGCATATTCATTGCACGAAGATAGGAACCAATTTCATGTAATGGAAAAGTGGACGGTACGAACACACTACATTGGTATATTTTGATTATATTTTAAAACGCATTTTTTAGAATTTGCTATAAATAAATAAAATCTATTAGTGATAGATCTAGACGATTTATGCTATATTACCAAATGAACCATGCATCTATACAACTCTTTACAGCCCTGTATTCCTGATTGAGTAAACAATGGCTGAAAGAAAATGCTTTAATATTCGATTTCATTACCTTCAGTGTATTTGGTTCCCCGTCATTTTACTATTTCTCATTTCTGGATGGTGTAAAGAGGCCTAAATTTTGTAAATCGTCTAAGATTGTTATGAAACTGAAAGATTTTGTGTTGTTGTTGGCAGCTTTAGGAGGAAATTATGCCAAATAAGTGACAAGATTGCTTGTGAAACATCTGAACATAATTCTAAATGTTACAATAGACATTGAAAAGTGCATGCATCTTGTTAAGATATCTGCAGTTAGACTTGGGGAGATTGCTTCCAGTTTGACTTTTCCCTTATAGTTTCACGTTTTTACATGTTACTCCAGCAACACTGCACACAATGATTGGCGACCGTCATTTGGTGCTTTATACACTTTAATCTGGTTGAGCTATTATTACCTGAAAATGTAACTTTTTTTGTTTCTTAGATTTTCCTAGAAGAAACTATTTTTAATAATATGTGTGATACATATGTAGATTCTATATAAATTGTTTTTGCAGTATGTACTACAATTGTTAAGCTATCTATGTGTAATTTAATACGATATTTTCTGTGAATATTCCACTGTATAGGGTAACAAATTTCTGCCTCTCTTTCCCAATCATGGTGTGGTAGATAATGGACATCAGTGTGATTCAAGAATTCTAAAGTTGTTCAAATTGGTTGATGAGTTTGGTATATGCATTATATATTGTATGCCATAGATATGACTTCTCATCACATTGTGCATTGCCAATTAATGGCATGAAATGCCATGTAACTGCATATATCATTATTGCAAAATTTTAGCATTATTGCATTAATAATATATGAAGTTAAATGGCATTTCATGCCACCATTATACTTACCTAATGCAAGATACTCTCTTACTTTTTTAAAACAATAAATATTTACCCCCTAACATTTTTGAACAACATTGAATATATTTCAGGCAATCAACATTTGAAACAAGTTGCTGTGTGCAACTGTGAGAGTCATGCTGAAACCTTGATCCGTGCCTAATTTTGGCCTGGAACTCCTGAAAAAACAAGTGTTGGGTTTCATTTTAAACTGATGGATCTGGCCGTTGTTTTGTTTTTGCATAATCAAGTACCATTGAAGGATTTTGCAGAGATGATGTTAGAGTTTGTTCCAAAATTACAGCCTATACTAGTAAGTGTGTATTATTGAGTCCAACGTTTAGAGGGTATTTTTCTTGGAAGTGCATTTTACTGCAAAATTGTATTTCTGTGTTATAACCTACAGTAATGTATGGCACAGTAACTGTTGATTAATTTGTAATTTCCTTGTTTTGTGTGTTTTTTATATTTTTTTCCCTTCAAAGTACTTTAAGAATGTGATTGTAATTAGATTAAGGTCTAAAAAAGACAAATGCAACCAGTCACAAATGAAAAATTATAACATTTTCTGTTTTTAGTTTCAGTTTTATACACTTTATTGTGTAAATGGTCAAATCTTACTGCAGATATGTGGGAAGTGATATTCTACTAAACTTATCTTCTTTGTAGATACCCTCTATATATAGAACTCTAAATGCTGGATGTTTTGAAGAATACAGGTACAGATAAGTAACATTAGCGCCATTTATACGAGGAAAAATAAGTCACGACTTATTTAAGACGCGACATCGTCGTACTGTATAAACGAAACAAAATGCTTCACATCCTCTTATTGGCTAATAGCCATTTGTGAAATCGTCATGTCCAACGTGTGACGCCATAACGTGTGATACAACTTTTTTCTTGCACACTATTACGTCATAACGTGCATGAGATAAATAGTCGTATCCCACGTTATGACGACACACCAATGGCGAAGACAACGTCCCAAAGTAATGTTCATATGATATGAAGAATTATCAACCACAAACTTAAGCTTGATAATTATTTTTATCATGTTCAACCTCATTCAATAATTGTTAATTATAGTGTGAAATTAATTTTTTTAATTTCTTATAATTTCAGAAATTTTAAATACAAAATGGATTATCTTGATAACTTTGTTCCAAATTTGTATAATGGCGCGGAATGTCCTGTATGTCCAAAGGTTTGTGTGTCCTTACAAGTCTGTAAAGTTATCATTTGATTTTATTCTCTTTGGTGTCAGAGAAAAGCTGGTAAGTTGCTGAGTGCGATGCTCAGTATAACATGTCATGCTCGCTGAATTATTTACTTTGTGTTTTTCCTAGGAAAATGGAGTTTTGATTGAGTGTGTGGATGCTTGTTTTGGTTTGGCACGGAAAAAGTATCGGAACCAGTCAAGTATTGCTCCACGGCAGGGAACGCTATTATTCAGTGACCAAGATGATGTTGATAATTATGTTAATAATTATCGGCTGAAAAACGGAAAAGCAAGTATTCAGGTAGAAATATTATGCAGTTATAGCTCATCTTAAACGAATCACGTATAAAGTATAAATCCCTTATCTTGTCCCCGAGCGGGCGCGGAGCGCCTGCGAGGGTACTAATTCCGCTCGGAGATTAGGAATTACACCCGGAACCCGGTAGAACATAGGCGAATCCAAAGTTGTCCAAATTCTTTGTCATGGACGGTCGATGTTGGGTGGTTTTGTAAGTTATGCGCATGCGCGAGTAACGTCTGGTAATCAACGAACGTTCTGATTGGCTAAGACAGAAAGTTTGTATTTCAATGAGAACGTCAGCAATTTATATTAACTGTCATTTCGTAAACATTTTTGTAAAAGCGTTTCATAAACTTTGTGCAAAGAAAGTAAAACAAGAAGAAACAAGATATATGAAGTATGACATGACAGTTAGCAAAGATGAACGTGGATACGGTCAAGACAAAGCCGTGTAAGAGGAATAATTCATAATCTGCAAACTTATAAATGTTTTCAAAGACAAAGGGTACGTGTTTACTCATAGGCAGCCCAGACTTTGACTTGCGCGTGTGATACTCGCGCGCGTGTCGCGCTTACGTTGTTTACTTCGTCTATATATTATGACAAGGTAGGAAAGAGTTTATCAAAATATGACAGATATACCTTCGTAAATGTATAATTATCTAAAAAAATACTTGAAGAAACGCCACAAAAACTACAACCTAATAATCACCGATGATTAAACTACATTATCCTGCAGTTTTCATGTTTTTAAACAACATCTAAAGCCTTCAAATTAGCGAAATAAAATAGGAATTCATACGGAATTTTGAGAAAACTATCCGAGGGTCACTCCGCCTAAGGAAACGTCATCTTTTTTGAGATATTACCTAAACGCTCATTGGCTTACCTGCAGGACCACAAATGAGAACCAATGAGCGTTTAGGTAATATCTCAAAAAAATGACGTTTCCTTAGGCGGAGTGACCCTCGGATAGTTTTCTCAAAATTCCGTATGAATTCCTATTTTATTTCGCTAATTTGAAGGCTTTAGATGTTGTTTAAAAACATGAAAACTGCAGGATAATGTAGTTTAATCATCGGTGATTATTAGGTTGTAGTTTTTGTGGCGTTTCTTCAAGTAATTTTTTAGATAATTATACATTTACGAAGGTATATCTGTCATATTTTGATAAACTCTTTCCTACCTTGTCATAATATATAGACGAAGTAAACAACGTAAGCGCGACACGCGCGCGAGTATCACACGCGCAAGTCAAAGTCTGGGCTGCCTATGGTTTACTTTGTTTATTTCGTATTTGTTTCGCGATAAGAATGAGCCGTATTTGTATACTTTTCAGCTTTGTATGCCGTTTATTTGTTAAATTTTCAGCTTTTTATGCAAACGCATAAACATGTGAATAGCTATTACACATTTGCTTTAACTTCAAAAAGTGTTTTTGAAAGTGTAATTTGAATTTTGGTATCAAAAATACACACTATATCTATAAAGTATAAAACTTTTAGCCGCCGGCGTCGACTGCAATTACAGAATAAAATAACATTTGAAGTTTTTTCTTTGTCTGTGAAGATTTTGTACTGTTTTAATCGTTTGAAACTTCGATTTTAAACCGTTAGTTAATTGCTGGCATGGTATAATGCAGCAAAATTGAACGGGCAATGTTTACACTAGCTTTATGATTATTTTTGTATTGAATGATGGAAACATTAGCTATAATATACTCGGTAAAATATAATAAGACTGATTTGAGTTTTGTGTCATTTCATAATATAAGTTTAGGTCAGGTTAACTCAGGAAATTGTGTACTTGGTTTGAAATAGCGAGGGGTTGCTGCATGCATGTATTTCTAGTATTGAAATATTACCCACACAAGATTTAGATAATTGGTTGCATTTTTAGACATATTATCTTAATTCTTTCCCATGCTCTCGCAATTTTTTATAGCATTGTAACAGATTTCACGCCGGAGAGGTCCTGCCTGCACTTCGGAGCAAGGGCAAAAATGATCTATTTGACGAAAAAGGTGTATTTGGAAGAGTATGCAGACACGATTTTCCGAAAGGCTTTTTAAATATTAAGCATGGAGAGAGGTTAGCACCACACACAATTTTAAACTTTGGACAACACTCTTTGTATATATAAGTCAGTAAAATAAAGCCTGTGTCTCTTTGTCAGAATATCCTATTCAGTTTACGAATTGGAGAGCCTAAAAAGTCAAATGCAATCATCGAAGAATTTGAAAGTTGTGTTGATGTACGATATTGCTTGCATTTTGTCAAACCACCTTACTGTAAGTAACTGTAGAAGTAATTTTAGTTAACTGGGGTCGGTTGTATAAAAACGTCGTTAACTTTAACTATGACTAGCTGATCTGCTATGGCTAGATGGTTTAAAATCTCACCATCTTGAAACTTGAGTTCAGGAGGATGATTGTCTCTCAATCGTGCACTGGCTAAGCTTCTGGGAGCGCGTTACACCTTTTTGGCTGCGAGAGATCTAGGTTCTCTGTGACCGAGGACTCGTATTTACAAAAATTTAAAATAGTGTTCATGTTTGACAATTGAGCGACGCTTACATGTATATTTTTTATTTTAAAGAGTTCAAATCGAGAAGATTTACTGCAGGATGTGACTCTGTGCATTCCCATGTTTCACTGTTATGGTCACAAAGCAGTTTGCCAGGTACATTATTTTTTTATCTACGTGTAGTAAGGATTGTACTATGCCCATTTCTACACACGGTGTTGCTGCTGTGGGAAACTGGCGACAAAATTTCCTATTCTGAACGAGTTTCCATATGATAAAAGCGGAAAGACCCATTTGAGAACGCCAGAGCACCCCATCGAGAATCGTGTGCACATGCGGATGATGAAGGTGCGGGAAGGATGCGGAAGGTTTAAGGAACATCCATGCACACCGCATGGTCTCAAAACTTTTGACCACTACTATATATTAAGTTTTATATACATTTTCATTGATATAGATGAAATATAGCCCACGACGAACCCAAAACGTCGGCTTGACAGATGGGGAGGGTGTTGAAAAGTTGTGGTCATTTATGCGTCAGTTTTCTAAAATGACCAAGGAAATGTCAATAGATAAAAGGACGGATGTGTTGACGGATGCCGCTCTGCACTATAGAGAACACCTGTTTAAGCGTTTCGGTAAGGCTTAACTGAATGTACAGTAATGCATGTACTGTATACTGTCGTTGAGGAACGTGAAAATTTTCATTTTTGTAAAAGTTTCAGTTATAATGTTTTACTCTTTAGGTACCTCCTTGAAATGCAGGCATGGACGGGCTGCTTCTCTTGGTGTGATGGTGAACAATGAGTTAGAAGATTTGTTGTCAAAATTACCAAGTAAGTTACTCTGGAAATTTTTTCCAATATTTTCTATCCATTTTCAAGCTGGAATAAATTGTCTGTGTCTACTTTTATTTTATTAAAAAAAAAGACGTGAATAAGGAAAGTGTGCGACAATGGATCGAAAATGAGCTTACAGAAATAACACCTGGCCAGGAAGGTACAGTTCAGTTCTGTATGGCAATATGACTTATTTTCATATTTATAACAAGCTGAACACCTTCCTAGATTTAAACACTCCAGGTTTGAAAGGATATATTTTCATGTACGGAGATAATCCTACTGTACATCAAAAAGTAAATGTGATCTCTTGATAAGGCAAAGAACTGGAATAAAAGTTCATATGGCCGTTATAAATATAACATGTACAGTACAGTCTGTGCAGTTAACTATTGAGTATTTTATTAATATACAACACTCTGCAATGTATTTTGATTTATCTTTAGTAGTTGATATGGAATGGGATGAATCATATGTGGAGTTACAAAGGGAGAGGAAAAGACTGCGGTAAGGCGAAACGACTGTTTATATATATATATATATATATATATATATATATATATATATATATATATATTTAAAATGAATTTTTTACGAATATATGCAAATTAGAAACGAGTTGTGTTACGCCACCGAAGAAGAGCCGGATCGTGTTGCGGGTATTGAGGGCAAAATGAACAGGTTTGGTATTGTATTACCTTTACTCATCTTTGTTTCATTAGTTTTTGCAAATTAGTTTGTCAGTCTCTTTTCACTAAGATGTATACTCTCTGTTATTGGGAGACAATGTTCCGAAAGCAATACCTGTTTGCCTGTTCGCCAGTGAGGAGAGTCGCATTCTGCAGCCTAATACCAATCAATCAAAGAATATCACTCACTTTAGAAATCAAAAAGCAATAGCCACTTTAGAAAAAGCATATGCAGTCAAAGAAACATGGGGTAAAACTGATCCGCAATATGAAAATGCAGAGAGAAGGCTTGTTGAAAAGAAAAAGCATCGATTATTGTTATCTCTTCATCGCATGGCATCCGAGAGGATTTTTCTCTTGGAACTCAAATCGAAGTATGCTGGTACGTAAATATAATGAGTTGCAGCTTCTTCTGCTATCTTTTACTACTATTTTGAAGTTATTTTTCAAATAATATATACAGTATACTCTAGTTTGCCCCATTTGCCTCTTTTTTCTAGAGGGGCAGGCAATCGCTATTAAGCTTTCCAATCAAATTGGAAAAGTTGTCAACGAAATGAAGAGGAACCTTGCAAGCTGCAATGACTTGTGTAAAAACGAATACGGCTTTGATGAAAAAAAAAATCCCCAATCCGAAATTTATACCAATACACTTCAATCACAGGACTCGGTAATACCGACCAAGATCAAGCATCGGTTAGTGGAACTGACGTATTTACAGGATAGATGCGAGGAAGAGTTGTCGATGGTAAAAGAAGAAATGTTAACTTTGGTGAATTTCGTCCGGCATCAAATTATTGAAATTGACCAATATATCTTGGCAAATAATGCAAGCGATGGTGATCTTTATCAAAAAGGATTGAAATGCCTTCTATTTCAAAAACAGACTGTCCATACGAAATATCTACAGAGCTTGTATGATAATTGGAAAGATTTAATTGACATTCCCGTTTCAAAAACCGCTGAACTACCTTTCCTTTCTACTAACCCTGGGGATTTTGAGACGTTTTGGATGCATGATTGTGATTGTTGTGATGATGTTAGTTGACACTTGGTATCTGACAATCTGTACAGTACAGTGGCGTAGCCAGCCTGACGATTTTGTCCCGCTATGTAAATTTCGAGTTATTATAAGTATTCATGTCTTTTATGTCCCAATATTAGCATAGCGGGACAAATCAACAGGCCGGCTACGCTACTAGTACAGTATAGTATACCAGTTCATAACTCTCGCTAAAATTGTATCTCTATTTTAAGGGACTAAGGGCGATTTTATCAATTTTTAACAATTTGTATATATAGGTAACAAATAAAGATATATTTGGTAAATGCTGTTTTTTTCAAGGTACAAATACAAATTAAAATATCTTTATTAACTCCTATATTCAAAATCCCTATATACTTTACTATATCCGTGTCAAATTACATTTGGAGGGTGAACTTCCTAAATGTGTTGTCAAGATGTAACATTCTTATACAATGCTGGTAAAACTGACCCCTGTGTTTAGAGTTGTAAAACGTAAATAAAGTCGGTGTCAAATTACATTTGGGGGGTGAACTATGTAAATATGTTGTCAAGATGTAACATTCGTATGCAATGCTGGTAAAACTGACCCCTGTGTTTAGAGTTGAAAAACGTAAATAAAGTCGGTGTCAAATTACATTTGGGGGGTGAACTTCCTGAATATGCTGTCAAGATGTAACATTCTTATACAATGCTGGTAAAACTGACCCCTGTGTTTAGAGTTGTAAAACGTAAATAAAGTCGGTGTCAAATTATATATTTAAAAAAAAAAAGTGTCAAATTACATTTGGAGGGTGAACTTCCTAAATATGTTGTCAAGTTGTAACATTCTTATACAATGCTGGTAAAACTGACCCTGTGTTTAGAGTTGAAAAACGTAAATAAAGTCAGTGTCAAATTACATTTGGGGGGTGAACTTCCTAAATATGCTGTCAAGATGTAACATTCTTATACAATGCTGGTAAAACTGACCCCTGTGTTTAGAGTTGTAAAACGTAAATAAAGTCGGTGTCAAATTATATATTTTAAAAAAAAAAAAAAGTGTCAAATTACATTTGGAGGGTGAACTTCCTAAATATGTTGTCAAGTTGTAACATTCTTATACAATGCTGGTAAAACTGACCCCTGTGTTTAGAGTTGAAAAACGTAAATAAAGTCGGTGTCAAATTACATTTGGGGGGTGAACTTCCTAAATATGTTGTCAAGATGTAACATTCTTATACAATGCTGGTAAAACTGACCCCTGTGTTTAGAGTTGAAAAACGTAAATAAAGTCGGTGTCAAATTATATATTTAAAAAAAAAAAAAGTGTCAAATTACATTTGGAGGGTGAACTTCCTAAATATGTTGTCAAGTTGTAACATTCTTATACAATGCTGGTAAAACTGACCCCGTTGTTTAGAGATGAAAAACGTAAATAAAGTCGGTGTCAAATTACATTTGGGGGGTGAACTTCCTAAATATGTTGTCAAGATGTAACATTCTTATACAATGCTGGTAAAACTGACCCCTGTGTTTAAAGTTGTAAAACGTAAATAAAGTCGGTGTCAAATTATATATTTAAAAAAAAAAAAGTGTCAAATTACATTTGGAAGGTGAACTTCCTAAATATGTTGTCAAGTTGTAACATTCTTATACAATGCTGGTAAAACTGACCCCTGTGTTTAGAGTTGAAAAACGTAAATAAAGTCGGTGTCAAATTACATTTGGGGGGTGAACTTCCTAAATATGCTGTCAAGATGTAACATTCTTATACAATGCTGGTAAAACTGACCCCTGTGTTTAGAGTTGTAAAACGTAAATAAAGTCGGTGTCAAATTACATTTGAAGGGTGAACTTCCTAAATATGTTGTCAAGATGCAACATTCTTATACAATGCCGGTAAAACTGACCCCGTTGTTTAGAGATGAAAAACGTAAATAAAGTCGGTGTCAAATTACATTTGGGGGGTGAACTTCCTAAATATGTTGTCAAGATGTAACATTCTTATACAATGCTGGTAAAACTGACCCCTGTGTTGAGAGTTGTAAAACGTAAATAAAGTCGGTGTCAAAATACATTTGGAGGGTGAACTATCTAAATATGTTGCAAGAAATGCAGTAACTGGACGACTCATACACACGTGTGCTTTGATTTTTTCGTTTTTACTGTGTGTGACAAATATTACTCTAGCACAAAACAGAGCTATGGAAAATATTATGTTTAAATATATAGTTTTGAATTTGTAACGTGAACCTACCGATATTTAATTTTTGCATTTTTATATATATATCGCATTTAACAAATACTGCATTTATATACGTCGGTTTGCCGTTATCTTTGTTTCAGAATGAAGCATGTGTTCTGAAAATGCTGTTTTCGTCAGTTAATGATTACAATATTGAAGCTAATCCAGAGTCATCAAGAACTTTTAAAATTGTTTCTCTAAAAACACCCGGTAACTCAAAGGCGTCATCTAAATTGCCAGTGCAGCTGAAATAAAGTGGTCCATGTGCAGTTCGAACAATATTTTTTCCAACTATCGAGTCCATACCCTTTAAAATACTGTACTGGCCATTCGCTTCTAGGTTCAACCATCTCCCTTTTATTTTTGTTGAAGAAACAGACTTTGCTATCTTTGAAGGTTTCTCCTTGACCAAAAACAGCCAAAACCTCTCTTCTGCCTCAGTATATATCGGCAAAAGTAGATTCTTAGTTTCACTATCATGACACATGTTATGACCAACGGCGAGCCAAGCATCCGGTGAAAAATAATGGGAGCAACTCGTATAGAGAAGTGCCTTTTCTCCTTCAGTCAATCTTAGGTCCACTACCTCGACATCCTCTTCTAAAATATTTTCACTTCCATTTGCCAAAACTTTCTCAGCTGACTCTAACCCAGCAATGTTTTCCAGAAGGCTTTTGATCTCTGCTATGTTGGGCATCTCGGTTGGCGCTGACGCCGATTCCATCATATTCGTGGCTAGCAAATTTTCGTGGTCGTTTATTACGAAGGTGATGTCAGCAGAAGCTTCCATAATTCTTCTTATTTGGTATGCACCGTAATTGAATGGCTTTTTGAATTCAATCCCTTCTGGCATACCGACAACTTCAAAACCTCGTTTGAGGTAAGGAACGCGGCAGATTTTCCCAACTGCTTCACCTACACAAAAATAAACGTCTTTACATGTACAATATCTTCATGCATCAAAAGGCACATCGTTTACACGTTAACTTGGTATCGTTTTTCTTCAGTCAATCTAACTATTAAAATAATATGAATACACATTTCACATGGTAATTCATTTCAACTGATACGTTTTAAAAAACCTCAGCACGGTTTGTAGACTGACTAACACTACAGCAGTTGAATGGAAGATCCCAAGTAAAATAGAGGTTCAAAGGGTCTTTATTTTCTTGTGGATTCATACACATTTCAAATTCAAGGCAGCAACATTGCGAAAAATGAGTCAACTATCGGTCCTCTTTAGGAATCGAACTTTATTAGATAATTAAACAATATTTACTTTTAACTTACTATATTTCCTATTAAAGAGGTTTTGTACGTCGCTTCGATTGTATCTTCGATGCGATTCACCTGTAATTAAAAATTTAAACATATATTGATAATTTATAGAATAAATATAGCCTTTCCTTAGACTGGATATTGTCTTAAAAAATGATATGCTGCAGTAGTAGTCATAGAGCAGTATATTCAGATGTGAAAACCAAGAGTGTTGCATTGATTTATTTAATCTTATCTTTATAACTTTCTGCGAACGGTGCTGTACCGGCTGTTATTGCCTCATATTGGTAGTGCAAATTGGGTACCAATGAACCGATATCAATCGCTACTGGTCTTTGGCCGACTTCTTGCATACTTTACCATATTTTGACCACGCTCTTCGTACTGAAGCAAATGCGGAACATTCCACTTAGATGCCATATACCTTACAGGTTTACCGTGAATACAATAGCTTATAAGCAAAGGATATTATACCAAATATAAACGAAGAAAAACTTGAAACAAAATATTGAAACTTGAAACTTACCAAAATATTCGCGAAATTTAATGCCAATTTCGGGATTCGATGACAAGAATTGGTTGCCATCACTTGATCCAGCTTGAGAAACGTTGCCGCTGGTGTCAACGACTAAAGTTGATATTTCACATCCAAGATCTGCTAATATCGTAATCTACCAAAATACATTTCATCAAAACTATTAATATAAATTAAACTGGTCATTTCATTCCAAATGGTCAAGAAACGCAAAGACAAAGTCTGCATTTTCAGCGAATCGAGATCAAGTCCATATAAAATGAGCAAATGGCACTTTTGGTGGTCTGTTCCGTATTCACGTTTATCACTATTAGTGCCTTTTGATTTTTTTTACAGTTTGTTAACATGGATATTAGCCACCTCCCATCTAACGATCTTCCGCGACCATTTTGTAGGTAAGATGAATAGCAATAATGTGCTTAAATTTGCTTTTATATTTGTGATGCAAACACTTACGAATGTACTTTTTTGATACTACTAAAATAAAATAAGAAACCACAGTATATGTTTTTCAGAATTGGACGTGCAACATTTTAAAAATGTCTTCATAATCTTTCTACAGAACTATGTTCTGTGCAGGAAAAGTAATTTCTACTCACGTACAACCTTAAAATAAAGGTTACGTGGGAACTCTATAATTTTTATCAATGCTGTGCAATATGGCATTCATATCAACCCCCCCCCCCACACGTTTTACATTCATATATTCGTCTTGCCTTATTGCTTAGTTTTGAAAGACATTTCTTTTTTACGGCTTTTCACTTCAGTGTCATACACGTATATGAAACTGCTATTTCTCTGTGATTTTCCGTTTAAAAAAGTTCGACAAGTTTATCTCCGTAGTCTCTTCCCAATGTCTAAACTTAAATTTCGGTGTTCAAGACAAGTTGTATTGTAGCTAACTTATCCATTTTATTTTTGTTTCTACTGGCAGAAATTTATAATCGTTATTTGCAATTCTTCCCTACCTCTTCCAGGAGTCGTTTTGTATGGCGTGCTACAAGCTTTTCTTTATGAACATCAGTCAACTCATTGACATTAATTGTTTTTGAGGCCACTGACAAAGTTTTATACTTTTCTTTGTCTTCAGGTTTAATTTTTGACCATTCAGCAGCAGCTATCCGACTCTTGTCTGCCGGAGATAAGTTCTTGCAATCATGTACACAATTTAATTAACAATGCATGTAAGCTTTTTGTAATGGTGTAACGAAAGTACAGGGTGTATAAAAACTG